TTTTTATTTTTCAGAAATGATATGAAAATAAATATGCTGAAAAATAGATGCAAAAAGTAAAGAACACAAAGATATATCCTGGTTCCTTCACAATCTGAGAGTACTTCAATCCCCTCACTCCCCATGAGAGATTACCACTATGTCAGATCTTTGTACAAGTCTTCCACCAAAACATATCCTACAATCTTCTAACATAATAAACAAAATAAATAAGGAAAATCTCCTTATGATCTTTACAAAGTGCAACAAGAGAGCAGTCCTCCCTTATTCACCATCTTGCTTCCGTTAATCCTGAACAGTAAGGAAATTACAACAATCTGAATTTTTACAAGTGTTTGAATTTGTATAACAATGTATATCAATTCCTAGAATTGATATTCTCTATCAAGTAGGAAATTCATAATATGTAGTAGAAGTTCTTAATGATTTATGTAGTTGAAACTATTTGAAAATATAATGAAATTGATGTGCAAAAGTTTCAACAAAATGTTATGTCAAGAACACTTGATTTTGAAAATGAGAGAATATAAGTTATGAATTACTATGAAAGAGAGATGAGATTGAATTCTAAAAAGTATGGTTTATATAATACCTTAACACCTTTCTAAAAGTGTACAAATACATGAAAGAGATGCCATGGTTCAAAAATGCTTCAAAAATTTGTTTGCATCAGAATTTTCATGAAAAAGTGCCACTGGTTCAGCTGTAATCGGTTACCTAAAATGGGTAATTGATTACACATGACACATTTTCAAAAATTAAAGTATTTCTACATTTTTAGAAAATTGTGATAACTGTAACTGTTTTAAAGTATTATTACATTGGTTGAAATTGCCATAATTTATCAAAAACAAAATAGTTAATTTAAAAATAACTTTAAAAGATTCATGAAAGGTTTAAGATGAATATGCATGGCTTTTATGAGAAATAAAGTTATAAATACTTGAATTGTAATTCATATTCAACCATCTTGATTCTTCAATTTACTTTCCAAAGTTTTTTGATAATTTGAACTTGATTGCTCTAGTCTTCAAGCTTTGACTCTTCTTTTTGTTTATGTGTTTGTCTTCATCAAAACTATAACCTAGGATAAGAAGAACCCTTCTTCATATTCTCCCCCTTTTTGATGATGACAAACCATTCTTTAAATTTCAACTTGTTGCTTCAATATGTGACTTTTTAAAATATCGAGTTGCAACTAGAATCTCCCCCTATCTTGTATATATCCCCTTTTATTTTTCAATTCAAGGTTTTTTCTCCTGAAACAATTATAAAAAATAACAAATACAATACCTATTATTTCTCCCTCTTTTGACATCATAAAAAATAAGACAAAGTAGAATAAAGTATAAAGCAAGGTGATAACATAGGAAGGATATATTATTATAATTGAAAATTAATAGCATAAAACTAGACACTTATCTCCTTCATAATTGATGTCAAAGTTGATATCAATATTGATGCTTCTTCAAAACATCTTTTTAATCAAAGAATCTTTTAGAACTATCATATTGTATGATCTTGTATCTTGAAGGATCGATCTTGATTTGACAATTCTAGCATATGACCTTCAAGTACCTACAAAACAATTAGTTACACCTCATGCCCTTCATCACTTAAATGGTGTGAGATCGTCAATGCCTTGCATGCATGATCTTCATCTGAAGATGAACTTATTTCATTGTCATCCCATGCTACATATGCTTTCTTTTTCTTTTTGTGATTTTTGAAATTTTCTTTCTTTTTAAGTGTAGGGCATTCTTTCTTGACATGTCCCTTTTTTCCACATTCAAAACATGTAACTCGCCTTGTTGATGCTTCTTTGTGAATAATCTCCTTTTTTGCTTTCTTTTCTCAAGAACTTTTCAAATTTTTTAATAAGATCATCACCGTCATCACTGGATTTCTCCTCTTGATTGCTATCATGAAATTTAACTTTTATCTTTAATAAAACATCTTTTGAATCTTTTACTTGTATTTCATGTTGCTCTAATCTTTCAAATTTTATTTCACGTTCTTGAAGTTTTCCAAACAAGGAAGCAAACATCATGGTAGAAAGACTCTTCTTTTTTGATATCGTTGTCACATTTGGTTGTCATTCCTTGGTTAAAGATCTAAGAACTTTAAGATTTAATTCATCGTTAGTAAAAGTCTTACCGAGATCAATCAGGTGATTAGTTAAGTGAACAAATCTCTTTTGTAGATCAAAGATTGATTCTCTGGGCTGCATTCTGAACATTTCATATTCTTGACTCAAGGTATTCAATCTTGACCTTTTAACTTCAGCGTTTCCTTCATGATTTCCACTAAAGTATCCCAAATTTCTTTTGCAGATTTACATTGAGATATATGGAAAAATTCATCCATACTAAGAGCGCTTTGAAGAATGTTAAATTCTTTCTTGTCGTAGAGTACCTTATTCTTATCATCTTCATTCCATGAATTTTTACTCTTTTCTGTCTCAACACCATCGAAAATACTAGTAGGAACAAATGGACCATTTTGTACAATATCCCAAATATATTCTCCTTGTGCTTCTAGATGTGCCTTCATACGAATTTTACAAAAATCAAAGTATTCAGCACAGAATAGTGGAGGCTTGTTATTGCTACCACCTTCTCTAAAAAACATATTGCGGAAGTCATTATGAAACTTTTAGGAACAAGTTACTTATAACTGGCTATGATGCCAATTATAAATTTATGCTCGGTCTCTAAGAAGGGTGTGAATTAGATTTATTAGACTTTTATCAATTTGAAACATTATCACTGGTTTTGTTATTTTTCAGAAATGATATGAAAATAAATATGCATAAAAATAGATTCAGAAAGTAAAGAACACAAACATATATTCTGGTTCCCTCACAATCCGAGAGTACTTCAGTCCCCTCACTCTCCGTGAGAGATTTCCACTATGTCAGATCTTTGAACAAGTCTTCCACCAAGACCTATCCTACAATCTTCTAACATAAGAAACACAATAAATAAGGAAAATCCCCTTATGATCATTACAAAGTGCAACAAGAGAACAATCATCCCTTATTTAATCTCTTGCTTCCAACAATCCTGGACAGCAAGGAAATTACAATAATCTGAATTTTTACAAGTGTTTGAATTTGTATAACAATGTATATCAATTCCTAGAATTGATGTTCTCTATCAAGTAGGAAATTCATAATATGTAGTAGAAGTGCTTAATGATTTATGTAGTTGAAACTATTTGAAAATGTAATGAAATTGATTTGCAAAAGTTTCAACAAAATGTTATGTCAAGAACACTTGATTTTGAAAATGAGAGAATATAAGTTATGAATTGCTATGAAAGAGAGATGGGTTATGAATTTCTATGAAAGAGAAATGAGTTTGAGTTCTGAAAAGTATGATTTATATAATGCCTTAACACCTTTCCAAAAGTGTACAAATACATAAAAAGATGTCATGTTTCAAAAATACTTTCAAAAATTCATTTATATCAGAATTTTCATTAAAAAAAGTGTCACTGGTTCAGTAGTAATCGGTTACCTAAAGTGGGTAATCGATTATACATGATACCTTTTCAAAAATTAAAGTATTTCTACATTTTGAGAAAATTATGCAAATTGTGGCGGTTTTAAAGTGCTATTAAATCGGTTAGAAATGCCACAATATACCAAAAACAAAATAGTTAATTTAAAAATAGTTTTAAAAGATTCATGAAAGGTTTAAAACGAATATGAATTTTTTTATGAGCAATAAAGATATATATACTAGAATTGTAATGCATATTCAACCATCCTGATTCTTCCATTTATTTTCCAAAGTTTTTCGATAATTCGAACTTGATTGCTCTAGTCTTCAAGCTTTGAATCTTCTTTTTGTTGACGTATTTGTCTTCATCAAAACTATAACATAGAAAAAGAACTCACTATATATATATATATATATATATATATATATATATATATATATATATATATATATATATATATATATATATATATATATATATATATATATATATATATATATATATATATATATATATATATATATATATATATATATATATATATATATATATATATATATATATATATATATATATATATATATATATATATGAAGCATATCAAATGAGAGTGATTTTAAATGAGAGATGAGATGAACAAACAACAACCATTAGATCATGATTAGACTTATTCATTAATGTGACTATTAATTTCTCTCTCTTATTAACTTGCATTTCATCTCTCTTATTAATTTGATCTAATAGTTGGTTTTTGTTCCTCTCATCTCTCATTTAAAATCACTCTCATTTGATATACTTTCTATATATATATATATATATATATATATATATATATATATATATATATATATATATATATATATATATATATATATATATATATATATATATATATATATATATATATATATATATATATATATATATATATATATATATATATATATATATATATATATATATATTAAGTTAGATCTCAAGGTTCTAGTGATAAGAAACCCTACCACTAGATATTTGCAAAGTTTCTTGGATTAAATCGTACGCAAAAATCCGATATAACTGTTCTAATGTTTTCACATGTAGCATAGTTTAACGTGTGTTTCAACTCATAATCACACATACATGTATATGCTTTCCTTCGTCTCTCTTTTTTAAAAACTATCACTTGATATGTCAAACTCAAAATAAGTGGACAATGAAAATCCATTTTTCATTTTTCGGGTCTATTCGTAACCTACACAGTATATGCTATTTGGCTCTATTCCTTTCAAGCAACAATCATCATTTATAACAAACGCCATGAATGTTAGGTAATCTTTGAAAGTTGTGATAAAATTAAATATATGTCAATTCATACTAATAATTTTCCAACCAACATCTATACGAGTTTTGCTTTAAAAACACACCAACTTCTACCATCATTGTATATAAGGAAAACTCCATTTAGAATCTCTATAAGATCCAATCTGATTCCACACAAGAAAGTGGAAGCTATGGATCAACTCTATTGCCATAAAATAGCATTTTTTACTCGAAGCATAAAAAATCATCATAACCATCTAATTAGGCTTACACCATTGCTAGTTTCATTATCTTTGTTTCCTTTCATATTTTCTACTTCTTCCTTAATTTCTTTCCTCAAATGCTTTAACTTCTACTTCTCTACATTCTCTCTCCAACTAATCACTCACACCATAGACAAAAATTGCATGTTCCTCTTATCCAACGGTCTCCTACTTTTTGTTGGTATAACAAGATCTCTTAGTGTTGATGAGTCATCCAACAGTGTTAAAGATGGTTCGCAATCACTTTATTCAATGGTTGAAGCTCAAGAGTCAATGTTAGTGGTGAAGGAGAAAACCAATAAGCTTGAAACAGAGAGTGAAGAAGTAGAAGAAAGCGTTGGAGATATAAGCTTGGAAGAAGGAAGAGGAAGTTACATATTACATTGGGAACAAGAGGAGGGGCCAAAAGAAGAAAGTAGAATATTTGACGGAGGAGATGAAGAGAAAGACAATGAAACAAAAATGGTTGATGAGGAAGAAGTTTTAGATGAAGCAAGTTGGGTGCTAAGGACAGATGAGTTAAACAAAAGATTTGAGGACTTCATTAGAAGGATGAAAGAAGATTTGAGGATTGAAGCTCAAAGACAATTTGACATGCTTTGATTTTGATTAGTAACTATGATGATGCTTTTTATGTTTGAAATTTTTATAGGACTTTTAACAAGGCCGGCTAAAGAAGGATGCAAAATACCTTTTAGAAAATAGTTTCAATATATTCCAATAATAGGTTTATAATTACATCAATATTACTACTGGAAATTATTTTCCAAAATAAACAATGTTAGTAATAAATCTTGAAAGAAATTTTTAATTACTTTCTTCAATTTCAAATTCATTGTAACTATCAAAATCCTCGGACAATCATTGAGGATCTGCGATTGTGGAATAATAAGCAAGTCGTAAGATAATAGACAGCCTCAGATAATGGATTACTCAAGAGATCAGACGATCAACTGAGTATTCAACCAATAGAGTAAGTAAGGGTCACATATATAGCTCTCCATCAGCAGGAGAAATCTCCAACACCCCGGCCTCATTCTAAAGAAAAGACTATAAGAATAGAGTAAGTAAGGGTCACATATATAGCTTTCCATCAGCAGGAGAAATCTCCAACACCCCGGCCTCATTCTAAAGAAAAGACTATAAGAACGATCGCTAGCATGAACCAAAAAGAAGGACAATCCATGTTTTACGGAGCATATCAGGGACATGATATATATATATATATATATATATATATATATATATATATATATATATATATATATATATATATATATATATATATATATATATATATATATATATATATATATATATATATATATATATATATATATATATATATATATATATATATATATATATATATATATATATATATATATATATATATATATATATATATATATATATATATATATATATATATATATATATATATATATATATATATATATATATATATCTTTGTTGTTCTGATTTCTGTCTTATCCCTTCTTTAAGGTATTGAAGTATGAAGAGACGTCATAGCAAACCAGAGTACAATAAATGCATTTGACACCCGCGGACTTAAATATTCTATGGGTGTTATCAGAGTCACTTCACACATCCGATCAAACAAATTAAATCTCCACAGCACCCAGCGTGCCTTCGAAATACAAGGGTAATGTCCAAGACGCTTTACACCTATGACTACAACAATAAATTATCCACAGGACTTTGTGTGCCTTCAGAATTCAGGGGAGCTGTTGGAGACGCTTTGTACGTTTGACTATAATAACCAATTCCCTCAAAGGTACTATCGAAGACGCTTTGCACGTTTGAATACAACTTACAAATACCCCCTATCGAAGAACTACACCAACTCTGGCGCAGCTGACACACTCCCCCCTTCGGATCTAGTCAATCCAATGGACGTGAGTGATGGATGTTCGAGCTATAGGTTAATAAGGGGATTTTGTTATCATCTCCACAAGGATTGTTAGATATCTGATGCTTTCCATTCGATAGTTTACCGTTCAAATAAAACGAGTTTTCAAATTTTGTTTCATAAATTATCACGATTTTTAATAGTAAAGCTTATAAATTCTAAAGTGTTTGACTAACAAAGTATATCAAAAGTAGTTTTCATCTACCCTAACTTATATGTATTCTTTCAATCTTGTATATGAAGTCGGATCCAATTAATATCATCGCGTATTCTCCTAATACCGTCTATCTCTAGAGCGGCATCGTGAAAAATAATGTATTCATCACTACATGATCTATCCATATAATAACCAATATAGTACACTTTAAGTTCAATAAAAAGCAAATATCAACCATAGACCGATCTCTCCAATCTATAAATTGATAGATGAATGTTTTAGGTCAAGGTCCATAAAATCTATGTCTAGAGTTTTACAAAACAAGAATGGATCATTAAGAAGAAAAATATCCATCATATATCAATCATCACTTGTTCACATGCAATGCCAATCAAAAGAAATACATAAAGTGAAGGTAGACTATCTCTACCTTTGATACAAAGAAAATTAGCTACCCATAACCATGGCAGCTTTCTTTACAAGTAATGAGAAGATGAATGAGCATCCACATCGAAGAATCGAACTCGGATGTGAATCTATCTTATATTTGCAAAATCTTAGTTTTTGGTGAAGAAATGTTGAAGAAATGAGTTTCTATGTGAAAAATGGAGTTTATGATCCCCAAAAAGTGTGAAAAGTACTTATATAGTACAACTAAAGTATGCCTAGTTCGCCTAGAAAACTCTTTCTTCACCCAACAAGGTCTAATTTATGGCACTTGAGGTGCCTCTGAACAGTTAAACCACCCTTGGAAAATATCTGAACTCGCCTAGCAAAATCTTCTTCACCCTGCGAGCTACTTCGCAATAAGTTTGCACAATGAACTTATGGCCCTTTTCTTACTATCTTCCAAGGTTTCCTCCTCGTTGGGACCTTGCTGAAACTTCGCACATCGAACACTCACTACGATTTCTTGCAGCGAACTTATATTCCTTTTCTTTCTGCCTCTAATTTGAGAGGGTTCGCTAGGGTTTCACTGCTACTTCGCCCACTGGATATTTGCTTGTTGTTCACTATGTTCGTCCAGCGAACATGCTGAATCTTCACATTTTCTTTAGCTTCCTTGTCAATTTAGTTGTGTCTTACTTCTTTAATAGATTATGCTTATATCCTGCACAATAACACACAAATCAAAGCAACCAAAGGTATTTGCACATACTTGAAGAATAACATTGAAACATGGAATAAATCCAACAAAACATAACAAATAAGATGAAAAAATGCCAAATATAATAGATCAAATTAAAACATGTTTGACATTCAACAAACTCTCCCCAACTAGATATTTTCTTGCCCTCAAGCAAAGTATATCTCTCATTGAAAACAAGAGGATTTGGTCAAGTATTTAACTCAACCAAGAATGAATTTATGGCTCAAATTAAACAAAAAATGTGCACAAGCAATGTTCACCGCTTCCTAGAATCCAAAAATGCAAAAGAATTTAGTTCTTAAACAAATATCATGCAATACTTCAGATAAAAACTAAATTTTCATTCTTGAATCACTCTAACACTCCTCTTCAAATAAGAATGAAGAAATTAATGTGTTTTCAGCCGCGGGGAAATTTCATTCATTTGACAAACAATGCAAATGACAATCCAATTCTTACATTCATCTAATCAATCAAAATGAAATCATATAAGAAATAAGATCACTAAGGTCTTTAAAGGTTGTAGCTTGGTTAGGTTCACAATAAAGGGACATATCTAAGGCCATGAAATTAAAGTTTCTAATGCAAAAGACACATTCACTATACAAGGTTATGTACACACTACAACTGCATTCAACACTTTCTTTTCTCAATTGGTCACTCTTCCAAACTTTCTTTATCCACATTATTCATTCTCTATTTTTTTTTTCACATTCATATTCACAATTTTCTTTTTCAATGCTTGTTTGAACTTTTTCAAAATTTTAAGTAACCTACCACTTTTATTTTTACTCTCCCCAACTTGGTTTCAACCAAACCTCAAGTGAATGTTCCTTGATTTTTATGGCAAGGAATACAATTTAGAAAAAATTTCAAAGGTTCAAGATTTGTTTTTACAATCCCATAAAACTCAATGATGAACTATCTTTCAAATCATGTCCAAATACCAAGTTCATCACTAAACTAGGATCTAAACTATTAAGTTCAAAAGGGTTAGCAAATTCTCACTACTCATGGGTAAGTTACTTTTTTGGGATATGGTTGTGCTCAATATCAACAAAAGTCTTGATCATATCTAATGCTTCCACAAAATCAAAATAATTACAAGATTAAGCATGAATCAAATGTATTAACACAAAGCTTATTAGTCACCATATGCATATAATAAACAATGGAGGTCTCTCACAATTTGTGGCTTTTGAAACCTAAGTGGAACAAGCATTCAAACACAATTGCAAAAGAAACAAGGATACAATTACACAAAGAAAAAAATTATAAAACATTATAGCATCCTAGAAAGAGGTAACCATGTATCTTACTTGCATTCATGGTATTCAAACATTATCATCATCATCCAAACTTGAGAAAATATTCATTGGATACTTTTAGCAAATAGTAACCAATTTAGAAGTTCTTGCATTCAATCACCAAAGAAAGAAATATTAAATTCAAAACAAGCTATCAATCAACCATAAAAATTGAAGACTACTATAACTGCCCCTTCCTTTTCAAAAAGGCTTGCCCTCAAATCAACTACAGAAAAGGCAATGTACAAGAACTAAACAAAACATCAAGAGTGTTGTAGGATAAACTCACCAACGGTCTAGAATTTGACATGTCCGTCTAACGAACAATGCCTCGTCCAACGAACTTATTCGCCCCAGGTTCGCACAATGAACTGAGGGTGAACATGACAGTAATTCAAAAATTTTGGTTATCTTCCATTTTTAGTTTATCACAACACTTTTTCACAATACAAAAACTAACCAATGCAGTAAAAAAATAGTAATACTTATAAGGTTGGGGTGACTTCCAACAAGCGCTTTTTATAATGTCATTTGAGCTCGACAGTCGAAAGTGGCTCAAGGATCTCCAAAAGAAATTGCTCTTGCATCTGTAAAAACTTCGCTACCATGGTACACTTTCAACCTTCACCCATTAACTGTCCAACTTTCTTTCGATAAAGGGTCTTCAATCATAATTTATCCGTAGTGTTTGATTTCCCTAATCCGAAACGGACCAGACCATTTTTACTTCAACTTGCTCGAAAATAATGTTAATCTAAAATTAAATAGTAAAACCAATTGCCCTTCGTGAAAGTCCTTCCTCACAATCTTCTTGTCATGATACTTTTTCACCTTCTCCTTGTAAAGTTTGTTGGAGTCATAGGCTTAAATTCACAATAAATCTAATTCATGAAGTTGCACTTTCCTCTTTTCACCACTTAAAGTGGGATCAAAGTTCAAGAATTTTAAGGCTAAAAGATCCTTATGCTCCACATCTACCGAAAAATGACAAGTTTTTCCGTAGATCATCTTAAATGACAAGCTTGTGTGCCCAATCCTTCCTAGAAAAAGACATGG